TCTCAATGTTATATGCTAAGCTGCTACTGCAGGTGTCTGAGTATTGGGTTACAAGTTCCTTGAAGGGCTCATTCCTGCCTCAGAAAGGCATTTGGGAGCTTGCACAGTAGAAAGAGAGGGCAGAGTAAATAGTGTCATTAGAAAAGGGTAGGTGTGGTTGAATTGTTGACAAGTTGTACAATTGGCTATTGTTGGTGGTCTAAGATGCAACCTATCTCCCCACCCTCTAAATGATTTATCACATACCCTTTTGGGGTCAGGCTAGCCCTGTTGAGCTCAGTTTGTGGGATCCCAGGGGGGAAGTAGGCTTTTTGCCAATTGGCCTACAGGGAAGCCCTCCTGAACCTCTGGAGGAATAAAATAATCTAGCCCATCACTTTAGCATTCCCCTGCACCAGCTACAGGAGGGTCTGCAACTAAGAGAACCCAGGAAACTCAGAGCTAATTCCTATGGTCATAAACCATAACTATGACACTATCTATGAGGATGCCAAGAGCATATACAGATGATAAAACCCTCCCCTTGTTCTTTTCTTTCTTGGTCAGGTGGCTGTAATTACTTTAGCCTGGTTCAATGCTGAGGCTAGCTTCCAGACTCAGGAAGCCATTTATTTCCTCTTGGCCTCTGGAGAGGAGCAAACCAAGTTAATTAAAAATAACCACATTGATTGCATCAGACTGAGTCTATGTCTTCCACAGAACTCTGCAGGGACAGGAGAGAAGATGGAAACAAGGGAGAACTGTCAGTTTGTGAAAGTAGATTCGGCAAACATGCAGGTATTGTGGTCACAGGGGCACCAAGAGAGACCCTATTTCTCAGTTCCTGTCCTGACCTTCCCTTTTTCACTGACCTCAAATTAACACCATCCTAGAAACTTCCATAGCTCAGAATTCTTATTTATGTTATTGCCAAATAAATTGGCAATTACTTGTTAAATATCTACTTGTAGTCACTATAAACCTGCAGAGCTTCCCAGCTGACTGATAGTGGCTGAGTCCAGAAGCAGTCTAATGTGGCTCCCAACTAAGGGCCAGAGAGTCACAAAGTCTCAAGCGCAGTTCAAGAACTTGCAGAACTCAGACCAGTGGGGATCAAACTTTGCCCTGGATCAGATCACTTTGGGAGCACTGAAAGCTTACAGATCCACAAGAATGACAGAATATTCAATATTCATAAGAATGCAGCAGAAGGACCCTGGAGGATACAAGCTCATCCTAGACCTTCCCTCCAAAGCTTAAAGGGCCTGACCCTAAAATAAAGTCCAAAGTCAGGAAGTAGTCTGAAAAAATAAACAAAAATGTAAAAAAAAACCCACCATAAAGAGCTATTATAATGACAGCAACATTCAAAAAACAAACCCAGAGGAGAAAGATTCCAAAACAGCTACAGGAAAAGAGAAATATATCTTGGACACAAATTCACTTAGAATTCTTGGAAAAGATGAAGCAAGAACTAAGAAAAAAGAGGTATTTTTTTTGTAATTGAAAAGAAAATGCTAAAGAAAAAATGGAGAATAAATGAGAGCCACAGAAGAAAGAATTGGAAAGGGAAATAACATCTTAGAATAAAAGGTATAAAGCCTCATCCAAGCAGCAAATGCCCTGACAACTAGAACAGACCAAATAGAAGCCAATGATTCCATGAGACAATAAGAAATTTTAAAACAAAGTCCAAAAACTTAAAAAATATATAGAAGAAAGTTTAAGGTCTTTCATAGCAAAAACAACCAGCCTGAAAAGAGATTAAGGAGAGATAATTTAAGAGTCATTGAAAGCCTTGACCAAAAAAAATAGAGTAGACATCATATTTCAATTTTAAGATGCTCAAATCTCTTAGAACCAGAGAGCAAAGTACAAGTAGAAAGAATCCACCTCCTGAAAGAAACCCCTAATGAAAATTTCGAGAATATTCTAGGCAAAATCCAATACTTCTAGGTCAAAGAAATAATACTACAAGCAATCAGAAAGAATTTAACTACCAAGGAGCCACAGTCAGAATCACACAAGATTTAGCAACCACTGCTCTAAATGAGCAGATACTTTGGAATATGATACTCCAGAAGGCAAAAGATATAGGCTTACAATCAACGATAACTTATCCAAGAAAAACTAAGTATAATCTTGCAAAGGAATATTAAGCTTTTAGTAAAATAAAAGGTTTATTAACGTACCTGATGAAAACATCAGCACTACATAGGTACTTTGAAGAACAAACAGGAATCAGGAAAAATGTTTTTAATTAATCATAAGTTACCAATCATGAGAGACTAAACAAGAATAAATTGTTTACATTCAAATATAGAGAGATAATATATCCTCTCAAAACCCTATCACAATCAGGGATTATAGAGGAGGTCTAATTATACAGAGGGCCTGGGAAGAGTTCTGACATGTTTTGATGAGCTTAAAAGAATGGAAAGGGAAGGGAAGAAGAATACTCTGGAGGGGGGAATGGAGTGGTGGATTGGAAAAACTATTTCATATAATGGGAGTGTACAAGGATAAGTCTAAAAAAAACTAGAAGAAAAGTAGAGGGAGAGTAAGGAACACATGAACTTTCCTCTGATTTGAAACTGGTCAAAAGAAGGATGAATATACACACACACACAGACACACACACACGTACACACCCAAACACACACACAGTTGGGTATAGAAATACATTTCACTCAATAGAGAAACAGAAGAGAAAACGGAGAAAGAGGAATTAGAAAGAGAGTAAATTAAGGGAAAGAATTACTCCTAGACAAATAAAAAAAAACTCTAAGAACATATAAAATATTTATAGTAGCTCTTTATTTGGCAGCAAAAAAGAGGGGGGGACTTGAAGGGGTGCCCATCAACTGCGAAGTGACTGAACAAATTTTGGTATTTAAATGTGGTAGAATGCTATTGTGTTGTAAGAAATGATGAAGGGGGTGGTTTCAGAGAAATCCAAAAAGATTTTATAAACTGATATAGTGTGAGAACAAAACTAGGGAAACAAATAATACAATAATGATATTATAAAGATGAAACAATTTTGAAAGACTTAGAAACTCAATGATCAACTTCACTTCCAGAGGGCTCATGATGAAACATGCTATCCAGCTCCAGATGGGTAGCAAACAGAGAGGTAGGTGATGGGCTTAGAGTACAGACTGAAGCATGGTTTTGTTTTGTCTTATTTGCAAGTGGTTGTTGTAGGAATTTGTTTTGCTTGACTACATTTATTTGTAATAGGGGTTTTGTTTTTCTTTTTAAGTTTGGGGGGCAGAGAGAAAAGATGGATTGGTTTCTGAAAAAAAATTAATTTTGAAAAATGAAGGTGTTGAATCAGATGACCTCTGAACTCTTTTCCAGCTCTAAATTTATGATTCTGTAGTCCTACACAGGTTCTTCTATAAATTCTGCTCCAGAGTGGAGTCTACTAAGCACAGAGGATCTGGGTATAAATCCCATTTTAACCATTTATTCTAAGTGACCTTGGGTAATTCATTTAGTCACTCTGGGCTTCAGTTTCCTCATTTGTAATATGAGCGAATTGGACTATATCATCTCTGACCTTCCTTCCAGTTCTAAGCCTAATATTATTATCTTTCTCCACACATAGTGTTCTTTTCCACTGTTCCTCTGTCCGGAATCTTTTCAATAGTCAATAAACATTTAAGTGCCTACTATATACCAGGCACTGTATTAAATGTTAGGGATACAAATAGAGGCAAAAGGCAGTCCCTTCTCTCAAGGACATCACAGTGGGGGAGGCAACACGCAAACAAACATGTAGAAATAAACCATATACAGAATAAATAAGAAAAAATTAAGAAAGGAAAGGGCCTAGAATTAAGAGTAGTTGGGAAAGGCTTTCTGTAAAAGATAGGATTTTAGTTTCTGTTTAAAGGAAGCCAGGGAAGCCAACAGATGAAGATAAGAAAGGAAAACATTACAGGAATGGGGGACAACCAGAAAAAAAATCCAGAGCTATAAGATATAGTGTCTTGTTCATAGAGCTAGAATGAGGTCAGTGTCACTAAAGTGAAGAGTATATATATATATCAGGAAATAAGGCATAAAAAAACCGGAAAGGTGGGGGGTGGGGGACTGGGTTATGAAAGGCTTTGAGTACCACAGGATTTTATATTTGATCTTAGAAGGAATATGGAGCAACTGGAATTAATTTCATGAGAGATGATATGATCAAACTTGTGCTTTAGGAAAATTGCTTTAGTGACCTAACAGAGGATGGTATGGAGTGGGGAGTTAGTTGAGGCAGGCAGGACCACCAGCAGCCTGTGGCAATAGTCCAGGTGTGAGGTGACGAGGGCCTGCACCAGAGTGGTAGCAGTGTCAGAGAAGAGAAGGGGACATAAAGGAAAGATATTACAAAAGTGAAACTGACAGGTTTTGGACATGGGGAAGGGGGGCGGTGAGGGGCAAAAGATAGCGAGAAATCCAGGATGACTCTTGGGTTGGGAGCCTGAGGGACTGGAAGGATAGTGTTGCCCTCTACAGTAATATGGAAGGTAGGAGGGGGCAAGGGTTTAAAGAGAAAGATAGAGTTCAGTTTGGGACATGTTGAATTTAAGATATCTACTGGACATCCAGTTGGAGATGTCTAAAAGGCAGTGGAAGATGCAAGATTAGAGGCCAACATAGAAGTTGGGGGAGGAGAGATATATTTGAGAATCATCAGCATAGAGACAGTAATTAAATCCATAGAAGTTGATAAGAACACCAAATGAGGTGGTATCGAGGGAGAAGAACAGAGGTCCCAAGACAGAGCCCTGTGTGTGCTTAGCAAAATGCCTGGCACATAGAAGGCATTTAACAAATGCCTGCTGACTTCACTCGACTGTTCATTTAGTAGCACATACCATGATCAGGGAGGGATTCCTGAGCTCAGTCAGTACACAGCAGACTAAGATTGCAAAACCCCTGTCTAAATGGCCCCTAGTCAACTAGGATTTTTTTAATAATTCCACCCAAATGACCGTCCAATTCAATACACAGAGTCCTCTGGAGTAATTGCTGAACAAGTTTATTTAATACAAAAAGAGAAACCTCTCAGAAAGAAAGCATAAGATCCTCAAGACAGAAACATGGTAGACATCACTTCCTTGAATAAAAAGAAGAAAGTGAAAGAATCAAATGGTATCCTTGATTTTCAGTATATTAGTGATTTCAGAATGGAAACTGCCATAGATTCTACCATTCTGAGAGGTGATCTTGGAGGGGGATAGCTTCCTCTGCTTTCCCTGTGAATAATTAAAGGTGATAGGGTTACAAATTACTCAGGTGGGCAAAAGGGGAAGTGCCAAGAGATGCCAACTTCTTACCTGGGACACAACTTGTCATATGACACACTTGGCAGGGTTTAGTTATGTCCTCCCACCAGTTAAAAGAATTAGACCGTTGTAATTGAAGCCACGAAACTTATTCCACATATTTTACATGAAATAGGGGGAATTGCTGCTCACACATTTGGCCAGAGGAGAGAGAACTGATTCCCTTTTCCCCCTCTTCCCTGCTCACTTCACATCTACTCTTTCTGAACATAGCAAACACAAAATTATGGGTCCCTACCCCTCAGAGTGCTACATTGCATACCTGAGGGCAGAGTACAATTGGACACAAAATTATGCAACAGTCTAAAGGGTAGAGTATTCCAGTGGGAAAACACCTCTGAGTAGAAAGTCAGAGGACTTGAGTTCTAGTCCTAATTCTCACACTATATAATATTGGGAATGTCCATTCCTTTCTTTGGGCCTCAGTTTTCCCCATCTGTAAAAGAAGAGGTTGTATTAGGTGATTCCTAGAGTCTCTTCTATAACTTAGAAGATGTGATTGTCTTCTACCTCCCTTTCACAAGCAGCAGAAGACTTGAGTTTCCTGGCTTTCCATGGCAAGGAAGTGTCAAGAATGATTAAAATATTGCTATGTGAAGACCATGCCCAAAAAGAGGCAAAACTAGTCTGTGGATTTTAGGACTGACAGGGCAAGTCCTCTAAATCTACTCAGGCCCAACTCCTCCAGACAGGCCATGAGGACATGGAAAATTTTGTTGCAAACATGGACCCTTTACCTTCCAAGAAACAGGGGAAAGTCTTTTATCACACAGTTATAAGGATCTGCACATGCTGAAATCTCATAAATGTAGGCTATAGAAAAGAATAAGACAAAGCATTTTCCCAAAGGAAAGAAATGAAACACTAACTTACCTAAACACGGCATGTGTCTGTGGAAAGAAAAAGAAATGCTTGAGTGACATCATTTGGTGAAAAAAGAAATTGCCTTTGGGAGTAAAATCGCTATAACTGAAACCACATAACAAAATTACTCCTTCAAAGGGTAAGGAGACAAGTTCTCTCATCCTTTCATAACCCAGAGAGAGCTTTCTCTGATAGCCCCACACACACTCCCCACCCATGAGCAGTAGAAAAAATTTTGATAAGTATCATTGATGCTTTTCCTGATTAAAATAAAACAACAAAACAATTAATCTTTGCTGTTGGTAGTCATAAAATGAAAGAACTGTATTCTAGTAGGGATGGAGATCACTGACCTTGCCTTTTCTGGGTTATATTTTATACTGGCTCAAATTCGTTCACAGATAAGCCAGAGAGGATCTTGAGGGTATGTAAGATGACTAATCAAAAGTAAAGTAGTTCTCTGTAAGAGAAAGCTTTGATCTCCTTGCTTATTAAAGACTTGTTAAGAATCAATTCAATTCATAAAAATTCTGCCTTCAGGTATCTATTTTCTGAACATTGAGCTGAGATCTAAGAAACCTACCTCTTGTACGGAATTCAATCGCTGTATAAGGCATAGTCAAAGTCCTGAGAATTTTCTTGAATTCTTCCATGCCTCTGCTGTCCTCTATTCTTCTGACTGTAGAGTTTAAAAATTTAAGTCATTTTATTTATTTTTCTAAGACCTTGATGGGAATGCAGAGAAAACATGTTCCCATATGAAGAACTTGTTAGGTCACACATACAAGCCTACGCACCAAAATCTCTATGATCCACATTCAGGTTATCAAGAAACTGGTCTATTGTTGTTATTATTAATAATCTAGTAGTAATCACAATAGTAGTAGTAGTAATAGTAATAGTAATCGTACTCATTTGCCTAGCATGTTGAAATTTTTAAAGGAATTTCACATATATAGCCTCATTTAGGCAAATGGGGGGGGAAAATCAGTCAAATTATTTGACTGAGTCATTTGGTTTATTCAATCATACTGGTTAATAAAGTAACATGAAAGTGCAGACTTCACACAAGCACATGTGTGTAAGTTTTTTTATGCTATGTGTTTAAAATTATATCTGGTCCCCACTTTGCTACCCTTGATACACATCATGCCCTATTGGTCATTGTTTAAACTATAATCCAGGTGAGATAAAGTTATGTAAAGGGCTTTGTAGCCCTTAAAGTTCTCTATAAATATCAGTCATTTCTATTAATATTAATTCAAAATTAGGCTTGGCACAAAAATTCGTTACATCCTTGACCCAATTACTGTAACACGTTGTTAATTGTCTACTTCACAAACTGCTTCAAGAACCTGTGGTTTTGTACTCCTCCACCAAAGAAAACTATAATCCCTTGACTAGGGGCTATTTTTGGAGAGTTACTGAGACTGAAAAAAATCATCACCCTTCAGCCAACATGATTAGGCAGGATAACATGGTCTTTCATTGGACCTTTCTATACTCACAAACTTTCAATTTTAGGAAGGCTTGCCAGAGTTTATGCTCCAAGCATAGACACAAGCCACAGTTACTTCATATCATGATGAGAAATCAAAAATAGGATTCTCTCACTTACGTGAACTGATGCTGAGTGAAGTGAGCAGAACCAGGAAAACATTGTGCGCAGTAACAGGAGCAATGTGCGATGATCAACTTTAACAGAGTTAGTTATTCTCAGCAGTACTAAGATCTAAGACAACTCCAAAAGACTCATGATGGAAGATGCTATCCACATCCAGAGAAAGAACTACAGAGTCTGAATGCAATTGAAGCAAACTATTCTCTCTCTTTTTTGTTGTTGTTGTTGTTGTTTTTCCTCCCTCATGATTTTTCCCTTTGGTTCTAATTCTTCTTTACAACATGACTAATGTGGAAATATGTTTACTATGATTGTACAAGTATAGGCTATATCAGATTGCACACCATCTTGAGGAGGGGGGGTGGAGGAAGGAGGAGAAAATTTAGAACTCAATCTCAGAGAAGTAAATGTTGGAAACTAAAAACAAATAAATAAATAAACATTTAAAAAAATAAAAGATGTTGAAACCATTCTTGAGACTTGTTTATCTCAGGGGACTAAAGGCTCAGGTTATTGACATCAGTTCTGGATCACAAGAGAACAAAACAGTCAAGAATAATTCCACACATACTGTGATATTTGGCTAGTGAGCTGCAGTAGGCCACTCAGGCCACTTATTTGTTGTTGTTCAGTCATTTAAGTTATGTCTGACTCTTTGTGATCCCATTTGTAGTTTTCTTGTCAAAGATACTGGAGTGGTTTGCCATTACCTTCTCCAGCTAATTTTACAGATGAAGAAACTGAGGCAAACAGGTTTAAATGACTTGCCCAGGCTAGTAAATGCCTGAGGCCAGATTTGAACTCAGGAAGAGTCTGCATGATTACCGACCTGGCACTCTGTCCACTGCAACACCTAGCTGTACTGCATATACATATACATACATAAGTATGCATATATATTATTTATTGTACATATTAAATATGTATATGTACTTAGACACCTTAGGAGGAGAAAGAAAGAGAAGCATGCAGGCTTAATTTGTATTAGTTGTGTTGACTAGATGATTATTAATCTTCTGATTCCCACTGGACCCTAGTCTGGTCCCCAGAACTTCAGACAGTTCCACAATTGCTACTAGTGCCTTCCCTCTGACAGCATCTTCTATCTACTCTGTATATAGCTTATTTATACATAATGGTTTGCATGTTGTCTTTCCCATTTGAATGTGAACTCTTTGAAGGAAAGAACTGTTTTTGCCTTTCTTTGTATCCCCAGCTCTTAGCACAGTGCTTGGCACATAGTATATGCTTAATAAATACTCAGACTGGCTGTGGACTGATTAGTTTCTTGATAATGTGTATTATGAGTGATGATCTGTTGTCATATCTCATTCAAACTTGTAATGAATAAGATACATACCATAGTGAGCACATGCCATTCTCTCCCGGGAATTGATGTTCTCCAAGCAAAAGAGGATGTAGTTGTCATAATCAGTTTCCATCACAGAGAATGTGTATGAGGCAGGTTCTGAAGGAACTAGGACAGAAGCCATAAGGAAAAGTCTAAATTTTCTTCCCAAACTGGAAGCAATCTGAAACATCTGGATGCTAATCAATCTAACTTTCCCCCATCAAGTCCACAAGGGTAAAGATTATCTCACTGAGAGTTACAAAGGAAAACTCTTTGGTTCTTACACTCTGTATCCCCTCTCTCCTGTCCTGTCCTTGGCTTGCAGTTCCCATAGCTGCTGTTAATTCAACAATGCCTCCTAACCTGCTTAAGGCATACCTAACCCAGGAATTAGAACGCAGAAGCAAATGCTTCATGACTGATCCTATCCCTCAGTACTCCACATCTTATCCCTCTAGGTCAGTGTTCCCAAAATTTGAAATCATTACCTTCAATAGATCCTTATTTCATAAGATTTTGATCTGGAAGGAACCTTTAGTGGTTGTCCAGTCCAGTCCTATCTTGCCATAGATAATGAAACTTGGACTTACACAAGGGAAATGACTCTCCCAAAGTACAGGAATTAAGAAGCAGGTCAGGAATACAAACAGAATTCCTCAGAGTCTGAATCTCCTGAAAAATTCTTTCTACTACATATATTACTATGATTATACATATATTACTATACTTGGAATAATATCACAAATAAATAAGTAAATATCACAGGTCTATCAAGAAAAAACCTCAATGTTTTATTTCCCAGCGATGTTCTGAGAAAAGCCTGTTCACATTTTAGATTTGGAATCAAGTTCTATATTTGAAATCAAAGTTCAATAATTAATACAAGGACCCTTCCCCCAATAGCATATTTTCCACAGATCATTTTTTACCTTTTTATTTATGAAAGCAAGTTTTCCTTCATTCTCTACCTCATCCCCAACCCCAACATACACCGAGGCAATGAAGCCTTTATGTGGCCAGTCATACCATCTGCCTACCTTCCTAACTTTATTGGTTACTACTTCAAGAAATTTTTTTCTTAGTCTTTAAAAAGAATTTAATATGTCAATTTAAATTGACATAGCACTATCATTTCTCTTTACCTTATTAAAATTACCTTATTCTCAGTATAGATTTAAATCTTGGACTCTCAGAAAAAAAAGAGTAAGAAAGAGCCTTCTTCATCTTTTGTTGAGTGTAGGGGAATATGCTTCCTTTCTGGACCACCACATAAATAGGGGCAGTATAAGCAGAATCTGGAACCATGACTTGGTGATACCTACTGCTGATCTCAAACTCGGTAGGTTCCTCAGTTTTCTTTAGAAGAAACTTCTTCTCAACACACCTGTCAGTCCTGAAAAGCCAATCAGATTTGTCAGTCTTTTCTCGAACCTCACTTTTTATGAACCAAATACTGGACTCAAGAGGGAAAATAACAAGGGTGTTTGGAGAGCTCATACCACACTCAAACCAATTGGAAAACAAGGAAAATCTGAGAGAGTCTCCAGTTATTTTCATCACACCCAGAAGCAAATGGCCAGTTAATTGTTTGAGTCAAATCAGTTCTATTCAACACACACTTATTAAGATTGTATTATTCACAAAGCACTTTACCCAGCGTTTTGACTGAATTCAACTTTTCTTGATAAATGAAATGATAGTCCATTAAGTCAGAAAACTCTATATGTGTAAATAGAGGCTTGATGAAAAAAACAAATCATTTGAAGCAGTAATTTGACACCCTAAAAAGCAAACAATCAAGTGATTTACTGGATGTGGGAGACTTTATAGCTTTACAGGATGCAGTTTCAGGACATAAAGTTCCCTACTTCCTTCCTAGATACAGTCTTCCAGCTTTGAAGGTAAATTTCCAAATCTGAAGGTGCCACGACCATGCCCACGGTTTCAGGACCATTTCCTTTGGTTTTTTGTTTGTTCATTTGTTTGTTTGTTTTTGCTGCCTGGAGAAATCAAGACCCAGTTCCTGAATCTTACCAGTTTTAGCCAAATGGCTCTTTGTACTGATTTCTTTTTATTCCACCTAAAGGTTCTAGAAGTTAAATTGCCCTCCCCGTTGAGACAGTAAAGAAACACCAGCTCCACCATTTACATGCTGGTGCTTTTCATCATTTAGACAAGGATCAATGGCTATACCAAAGACTCAGGAAGGGGCTACTAAAACCCTATTTAGGGAACAAGCCTTGATCACCTTAGGACCAAAATTTTACTTTAGTAGTCTGTGCCATGGTCTCTGCCCTTCATAGCCTTTGCTGCTAAAAGCAAGGCATAGTTTCCAACACCACCCCAAAACATACTTATTCAGCCACTCTCCTTCAAAATTTCCCTCAAAGCTATAATTCTCTGTTCCCTGATTCATTGCTTTCTTTAGTCATCTTAGGAGGCTGTGATACTTACTTCTCTAACACAACCAATTCCAGATCGCGTTCAGGAGTGGGGTTCACTTCCTTAATGTCCATATCCAACAAGGGGACTGAAAATTCCATGGCCTTTACTTCTTGTCTGAGATACCATGGCCCTACAAGCTATAGAGAATATACTTGTGAAACTCTATGTCAGGGTTCGTAGGCATAACTGACCTCTTTCCTACTCCCCTCTGCCATATCCCTCACCAGCCCTGAAGACTTTTAATTCCAAGGTTCATGTCACTGGCCTGAGTCTAAAAGAATTAATGCTAGAAAGAGGGAGGCTCTGATCCAAGTCAGAAAGCAGAGATGGGCTGTGATAATGGAAGGAATTCCTACATTAATCAGCATATCTACTAAGTATTGGTGAATTGTAAATATCTTAAAGTTTATGTGGTACCAAACTTCCTAGAATATTGTATTGTCATGGAATAATTCGGGGGGAAATGTACAAATATTCTTATGCCTTACACAATAAAATAAAGGAAAAGAAGTAAAAGGAAAGGTGAGCTTCCAAGTGTGGAAAACAATGAGGTTGTTGAAAAGAGAACTCTGTGGCCCCTTCTAAGCTGCTGTCAGAGAAGGTTTTCAACCCCAGTTGCATCACAACTGTGGCACAGACAAGAATGAACTTCTCTGAATGGCACAGGCAAGAATGAAAACTGCTCTTCTGAAAAGATAGTTCCATTCATACAAACCTGTTTCAATGGCTTTAGAAAAGCTAAAAGCTTGACTTGGGAGAAGTCATATATTCAAGAATCCCTGGGCCTAGTCTAAAGGCCTAGTGTTAAAGAAAGGGGCAAAGAAGAGTAGCCTATGGTGAAGAATGACAGAAAGAAAAGAGAGTTAAAAAGGGGGAATAATAAAAAGGAAAAAAGTTCCTAGTGGTATGAACCCCTATTCTAGGGACACAATTGTAAGTCTCCCAGGGACAACTGCCATTTCTGTTGTGTGTACTCTTCCCCCCTGTAATCAGTGCTACCCATAAGGAGAGTGTCTCTAAACATGCTCTTGCCTCCCAATTCTAGAATACTCACTCCACAGATAGAGGAAAACTCTTTATAAAATGCCTTAAAACCATCTTAGAAAATGGAAAATCCCTCTTTAACCAAGATTCTGTTGTTTTTTTGGGTTTTTTTAGTGAGTCAATTGGGGTTAAGTGACTTGCCCAGTTGAACGCAAGTCCTCCTGATTCCAGGGCTGGTGCTCTATCTACTGTGCTGCCTAGCTACCCCAACCAAGATTCTTTTAAGCCAAATTCTAGCTGGGAAGTAAAATCACCAGTTGAAGTAAAAAATACCCCAAAAATGAAATGAGAAGACTGTCACAGAATCACAGAAATGTATAATCTTAAATTTGGAAGAGAATTCAGAGGCTAACTGAGACACAAGATACCCCTCAAGTGGTCATTGGGCTTTTATTTGAAGATTACCTGGGACAGGGAGCTCACTACCTCCAGAAGCAGTCCATTGTATGGAATGTATGGAATATATTATAACTGTAAGGAAGTTTTTCCTTACATCAAGTCTAAATTTGGCTCTAACGGGTAGGGAAGGGATAAATCCCTATAATAGACAAAAGGATCATTGACCTCATACTCCAGGAAGCATTGTCCCCTAAAATCTGATTCACCTTGTCACCCCAATGCCTGGCCCATCATTAAGAGTAACACTGGCCCAGACCATGCCACTCAAACCTACCTTCACTTTCTCTTACCTTTTCAACCACTAAATCTTTCTTGGAGCGGATGTTTTCAGTAGCCTGGATGGCACCAATGAGGGCCAATCCAACAGCGAGCAGAAGGAATTTCATAATGACAGTTGTTGGATCTCACTTCTCTGAGGTCTGGAGAGAGTGATGATGGACAAGTCACCTCAGCAGAGCCTTATTTATAGAACAGGAGCTTGGGTTGCCCCATGTACCAGGGCAGTACCGCCCTACCCACCCACAAACCTTATTCCTTGAAGCCCAAATGGTCCAGCTGGCAAGGCTTAGAAGGTACTGTCACCCAGGAAAATAAAAGTTCCTTCCAAAGAGAATGACACTCATTTTCCTTTAAGTCCCTAACAGGAAAGAGATTCTATGGTCAGAGCTGGCAGAATGGAACTCACAGTCTTACAGAATGGATCGCTGATCAATTCTTGGCAGATGTACTAGAGGGGGGTTGGAGATGGATATCAAGGTGGCAGAAAATTACAACTACATTTCTATGAGCTCTAGTATTGTGAAATACAGTATAAATGATGGGGTGTGTGTGTGTGTGTGTGTGTGTGTGTGTGTGTGTGTGTGTGTGTGAGAGAGAGAGAGAGAGAGAGAGAGAGAGAGAGAGAGAGTTCTTAGAGAGATACCCCAAACAAGAACAAGGAAGGCATACTCCGGCAACCAACCAGTGTTCCTGAGAAGCATGTTATTTCACCATTGCCAAAATATTTTGGCCTTCATCCTGAGACACCTAACCCAGGTTTCTATATACAATTGCATTATGCAATAATGCAATATATAATTGAGGAGAAACACAAGGGACACACACCATCCTCTTCATTAAGTCACAGGCTTTTCCTCCTGGTAAACCTTTCTCAAAACACCTTCCCTAGTAAATCTCTTATGTCTACATCCAATTTCAGCCATGCCATTATTTTTGTTTCCCTACATTTGTATGTAGTTTCCCTTATTGTGATATGAATTTGTCCAATTTCTCTTTGCCGAGTAAGTTTATTTTGTTTTTCGTGACTTCTCCATGTGTTTCTTGTCCCATTTCCCTGTTTAGTCTATAAACTCATTAAGAGCAAGAACTATGTCTTTCACGATATTAACCTCCTTACTGCTCCTTGCACAAGTCAATTCATCTCCAAATTCCAGATATTTTCAGTGACTGTCCCACATGCCTAAAATTTTCTCCCTCCTCATCTCCACTTCCTGACTTCCCTGGCTTCCTTCAAGAGCCAACTAAAACTCTACCTTCTACCAAAAGACTTTTTTGCTCTCCCTTAATCCCAGTCCCTAATACGAGTGCCTTCACTCTGTTGACTATATCCAATTTATCCTGTATATATGTTGCTTGTCTAAGATGTCTGCATGTCGTCACCCCATCTGACTGTGAGCTCCTTGAAAGCAGGCACTGACTTCTGCCTTCTTTTAATCCCCAGAGTTTAGCACAGTGCTTGGCATACAATAAGTGCCTAATAAATGCTTGGTGACTGACTATCACACCACAACTCATTTTCCATAGGCAGGGTCAGATGTCTCAGGAAGCAATCAAGACCTGGAAATTCATCTGCATGTTGTACTTTTTCCTAGGGGGAGCAGTAGTGGCTTGAGGCTGCAGATATTACCTAGTGGAATGGCTTCCTGGGAACTGGCCTAGTTGATTCATGGAAGGATGACGCAGCCTATTTCTTGTATTGAGAAAATGACAATAGAGCTCTTTACCCTCAAGTCTGAGCATTACTTATTACCATACTGATTTAAGGTATATGCTTCTCATTCATGTTTCACCCCTACTCATGCTACTTTGTTCTAGGATTGGGGAAACCCAACAGGTTCGTGTTTGCTTGTCCTATTTCCTGACTGATATTTTATGCTTCTTTAGGAAAAAAACATATAATATCATATTACACCTCTTAATATAAACAGGGTAAGACTTTGAGATCTTCTTATCTCCCTATCCCACCCCTTCCTTGCTCACTTCCTACTCCCTCCCAGCACAATTCCCTCTCATGTATTGAAGATCAGTCAGAGCACAGAAAGCTAAGATGAAGAGCCACTGGGTCATTTAGATTTTCCAAATTTTTTTCAGATGGCTAGAAACCAATTAGAATAAGGCCAAGGTTGGGGACTCATTAACCATAAGGTAGTACCGAGAAAAACTCTCTCATGGCTTTAAAAAACCAATTCAAATGTGACCAGTCAATTTACAAAGGCCTGAGTGCAACCAGGCAAGAGAGTGTGAATAACCCCAGTATCCATTCCCACAGCAGGAAGAGTAAGTGAATGCCCTGTTGGCAGTAGGTTGAGTGCTTCATCTCAGCGTATAAAGGATGATTGTGTATTTTTTTAAAGTCACTCAAGTGGTTTATGGTGTCTCACTGGTGGCCATGTAATATAGCCTGTGAACATCTGCAATTTAGCTGTTTGACCCTGGACTTCTTGGAGACATTACCTGACTTCTCTGGAGCTCTCTGGACTGCTACTGCTCGATATGTTGAATATAACACTTCTCTGGATCTCTCAAGGTGTCGTGAAAATAAGTGAAATCTTAGGAGATCACCTCTGGAGTCTCCAGACCCTTTCTTCTGAGGAGTTTCCAGACTAGAAATCATTATAATAATGATTCCTTTACTTTTTTTCCTGCTTCCTTCCTGATTTAGGGTTAGGTCCAGGACATGACTAAGGATTATAAAGCAGTTCATTCACTCCCTCAGACTTAACTTGTAGGCCTCTTCTAGGTAAATTATATTTTCTCTATCACTAGAAATCATAACACCTTTGTTCTGGCAGCTGTGCTTATTACTTGGAATTTCAAGTTCCCTAAGTGAGGACAGAAGGAAAAGGTTGGGTTTTTCAACTGCAGAAAAAGCCACAAGTCTAAGCATAATGCAAGAAAGGACCAGTTCAGGATTACACTCTTACTTTAAAACTAAGCAACCAGTTTTGTTTTGTTTTGTTTTGTTTTTTAGGCAATTGGGGTTAAGTGACTTGCCCAGGGTCACACAGCTAGTAAGTGGCAAGTGTATGGTTTGAGGCCAGATTTGAACTCAGGTCTTCCTGACTTCAGGGCTGGTATTCTATCCACTGTGCCACCTAGCTGCCCCACAAGCAACTAAATTTTAAAAGTAAATATGATGCATGGAAGTATTATAATGTCAATGGACACCTATAAAAATGCAACATATAATATTATCTCTAAGACATGTACTTTCTCTGCAATAAACAGCCTTTAGGTGGCAGTGATGTATCTTACTATGTATTCTGGTATAAAAAGTGTGGGATGTGGATTCACAAAACCCAGCTTCAAATCTCAGCTTTTCCATTTAATGAGCTACGACTTCAGCCAAGTGATTGAACTTCTCTAAGCTGAGCTTCAGTCTCCTTTATCTTTTCAATAAATGGAATGATGTCTAAGGTACCTTTGGTTTTAAATCCATATCCTTGAGACCAGTAGTATCAAACTCAAATGTAATCAGGCCACTAAACTGTACATAAGAATCTCACCTGGCCACATCTTCACTTAGAAAACCACATATTAATAGTATCTATGTTTTGTTTTATTTTTATTTTAGCAAATATTCTCCAATTACATTTCAACATGGTTCAAGTGGTACTAAGGGATATTGTGGGCTTCATGGTCTGCCTGCTGGCCTCAGGTTTATCACCTCTGCCCTAAAACAAAAGATTGGGCAAATTTTCACTTTTCAACCAGCCATGCAAGTATCAGAGAGGAGCAGCTTCCAATATTCTATAGGTATCACTATTGTCTCTAAAGCTTTCAAAGTCCAAATTTCTAAGAATCCCATGGAGGTGTACCTAAGAAACCAAGTGAAAAGTAATAGAACTAAAGCTAGAAAACTCAGAAGGGGAAACAAAGCTTATTCTTCATTCATTTCTTTTGTCTTTTTTTGTTTGGATATATGGCATATTATAGAAAAGATTTATGTATAATTTTATTTTTTTAACTTGCACATTTATTTGGTTCTCTGTTTTTGTTGGTGTTTTGATTTATTTTTAAATCAGATTCATCGTTACATCAGTGTGGAGGACAGCCTATATTGAGGCATATCAATACCTGCTAATAACTTATATAGAGTCTCAGAGAGTTGTATCAGAAAACGAGAGGCCTGGACAATGACTTGTCCAGGGTCACACAGCAATCCATCAGAAGCAACACTCCTGACTCCAAGGCTCTATGCACTACACTATGCTGCCTATAAAATAAGGTACAGCAGCAAGATGGCCTAATCTGGAATTCGAGGACCTAGGTTTGAATTGCAGCTTTGCTACTGACTCTCTGAGAAACTTAGGTGAGGCACGGCCTTCTGTCTCTCAACCCTCTAGGGGATTAAACTGCATCACTGCTGGGGCCCTTCCAGCTCCAAACCTACTGCTTTATGATCTCTGCCTTAAAGGAGAAATGGGAAAGAGTAGGGACACAAGGGATCATGCGATGATAAACATGGACTAAAATAATAATTTAAGTGAAGGAAAAGGGTGATTTAGTTTTCCCAGCTTTTTCGCTCACCAAAGGAGATTTCAACAAACAGACTGAGCCAGTTATGATTGCTGTACAGTTTATGTACCACCTGAAGAAAGTGTTAGGAAGGGTGTGAGAAGATGACAGGGAGGAAGAAGCATATTCAGAGTCCAGGCACAGAGAACTGCTTTCTCAGTGGGACAGAGGACCTAGGATTTCAGGCTGAGGCTGAGGTCAAGTGAAAGAATCAGTTTCTCCTAGAAAACAGCAAATAGAACGTAGTGATGGGTTGTTAGGATTGTATGAAAGAATAGGATGGGGGACTTTCCTTGAGCCAACTGCAGGACATTAGAGGTTCACACCATTTGGAGAAGACTTTTAGGAAGAAGTCAGTGATCAACCTTTCCTGAGCACTTGTAGGTATACTCCCTACAAGATGCAATCCATAGGCTATGGTACCTAGGCATTCAATTAGACATCCATACACATAACTGAGGGGCTAGAAATCTGAAGGAAGCAGTGAGGTGTCATGTAATAAGATATTCTGTTTGACATTGTTTGGGGATTCATGTACCTGAGGGTAGGATCTAAGACCAGATGACCTCTTGAATATTACTGACTTCAAGAATTCTATGATAACTGACATTTCTCCAGCCCTCTAAAGTTTACCCAAGTGCTCTTCTCACAAGACCCCAGTGAGCTAATTACTATGAGCATAATTAGCCCCATTTTTTAGTTAAAAAAATTGTCTCAGGCAAAAAACAAAAACAAAAACAAACCCCATACTGCTGGTGAGCTCCCAAGCTGGGGTTCATGGCCAAATCTTTTGATTTCAAGTCTAACACTCTGGTCCTTGCTAACTTTCCACTTTACCTTTCTATAAATGATTCACTTGAAATCCTCAAAAGTCACTTGCCCTATGCTCGTCCAGGAACACAGTCTTCTGCAGAAATAAAAGAATACATGGACGCATTTACCAAGTGCACTTACTACAACACACCTTCTTATGTGGCCAACATTTTGAGTGTGAGACTAATAGCAGCTTAAATTTTACTAGTGGATTATATTTACAGAGTACTTTAAAAACTCTCTCAACAATTCTGCATGATGGTTAGTATGACTATTATCTCCATTATATAGATGACAAAATTGACTCAGAAAGATCCAGAGAGGTCATGGAGTTATATATTTAGAGGTGGAAAAAACCTGAAGGGTCATCAAATCCAATCTCTCCATTTTAAAGACAAAGAAGCTGATATTCAGATGGTAAATGACATCATCATCATCATCATCATTTTAGGTAGTATTTTTATACCATGTATTATGTGCCAGATACTATTCTAAGTGCTTTACAAATATTACTTCATTTAATCTTCACAAGAACCCTGGAAGGGAGGTACTATTGTCCCCATTTTACAGGTGATGAAACTGAGGCAAATAGAAGTTAAATGACTTGCCCAAGGTCAAACAGCTAATAAGCATCTGAGATTTGAACTCAGATCTTCCTGACTTCAGGACCAAAGCTCTATCCACTCTATCCTCTATTCATATCTAAGGTTAAATAGGTAGCAGAGTAGACATTTGAATTCAAGTCTCATGATTCTATACCCAATGAACTCTGTACCACATCACACTACCACAAATTAGAAAGGAGAAGCTGGAATTGGGCATAATCTCAAGAGAAAGTAGAAAATCCATCTTTGTTACCCTCCAATTCAGGGATGATGATTTTTTTCCTCATCTTGTCCTTTGCTCCGGACAAGTTCACTAAATATTTTCAAAACTTCAGGATGAGCAACTTTGTTTTGACCTATAATTGCAAGTCAGAATGAACAAATGAATACAACATTGCTACCTCTAGAGGGTACTCTGGTCAGGAAAGAAACATGGGAATTTATCTCTAAGTATTATTTCTACAGTCTCTTGAAGGAGCTTCATGGGCATACCCAAGAATTTTTAAAATTCATAATCTCTCCCTCTTCCCTTTTCCCAGTATCCCCAAGAAAGAGGTGGGATGGCAACTGTTATGGAGCAACTCTTTTAACCCTTTCAGGGCAGTAAGGTGCTTTCCAATGCCCTAAATTGAAGATCACTGGCATCATAAACAACAGTGTTTGGCAGGACCTCAAGAGATAATCTTACTTAACTCTCAACTTTCAGCAATATATCATCTTCATTTTATAGATGAGGCAATCTGTATTTAAATTCTACTATAGCAAATCCTATTTCCATGAAAGCTACTTTCTCAGGAAGATGCCTCTGTGTCTCCCTAGGTTAGCCAGAGAAAAAATGCTCTTATGATCTGATTATGACAAATTCTCTGTAATTAATGTTCCCAAACAGCCAGGTTTTTCCCTGGTCCTATGCTGTGAAGTGACTTATTACAAGTGGAACAGGAAAAGAAGATTCCTAGCCATTTGTGTATGCCAATCAGATCTTAGCCTAACAAAAACCCAGATACTCCATGGGGTTCCCAAGTCACTGGAACAGGCTCTGACTTATTCTTGTGCCAAAACCATCACCAAGGCTATATCCGGGGGAGAAATAGTTAAAGGCCTACAATTATTTATGCTGGTAGATTCCAAGTGCCTAATAAGTGTCTACATAGAATAAGCTCTTCAAAACTGTGAAGTGAATTGAACTCTAGTCATCTCTATGAACTGTGTTCTTTCAGTAGTATTCACAGGCTGCCATAATACATACCTGTGAGTTCCATCATAATGACATTTTTCCCATTCATCTTGCTTTCTACATATATAATTATTTGGTCGTCCATACCTGTGCTCAGTAACCCAACAATCTGCCTTCCCCCTATGAGGAAAAAAAACCACCCATTTTACATTTATACAATGTGTAGTCACAGCATGTGCACAATTCCTTGTACTTAGTAGGTGCTTGACAAGTGTTTAAAGTGGTATCTCATTGGTGACTTAACCTCTGGCTTTGTTGAAAAGGTGATCTGGCCTTTTAAGAATTCAAGTTGTCAAATGGTCAGGGGACACTGAATTTTTTGCAAATGAGAACCTGAGGAATTGGAGGAGCTGAGGAGTTAGGCTGAGACAAGCAAACTGCCTTTAGGTTAAAAAGCCATTCAGAGGCCTTCAAGGGATAAAGAGGGTGCACAGAACTGAGACCTTCACACAGAGTAAACTAGAGATGGCCATGGGAAAAGCATATTTATCCCTTCAGCCCTAGCTCTTTAAAAGCTGATGCTAAGGTGGGACACAGGATCACAGACCCAGGCATTGTGAATCAGAGAACAGGCGTCAGTTCAGTGAAGCAAAACGGGGTATGTTTAATATTTAGAAATTTTCTCTTAAAAACCTTGATCTATTTCTATGATATTGAGCTCTGAACATGTTTTTAAATGTTTGTTTACCACTTTCTGGTTTATTCTAGAGGCAACTTGGAGTCACAGTTAGATGACTAGCCTTGGGGTCAGAAAGTCCTGGGTTTAAGTCCCGCCTCTTACACAAACTGGCTTTATGAGCCTGGGCAAGTTACTTTCAATTCTCTACACTATTGTCTAAGCCTATCCTTTGAAGAGAAGGTGGCAATCTGCATTGATAGAGGGAGTTTCCTCACCTGGGAGTTTCTTGTACCAACAAAAGTACAATTCCAGTCTGTATCATTTTTAACTCTTTAAAAGGATTCATAAAAGCATAGCTCTAATGATCAAGTTTCTCTGGTGCAAGTAAGGTATAATTATTTTTATAAAAGATTAATTTTAAATAATTTTGAGGATGTGTCTAAAGCATCAATAATTTATTCATGGGTATTGTTTCACCTCCACTTGAGAGTTAATACCTTGCAGACATAGAACCAGGAATTCTAGTGCCTGTGGAAAAAAAAAACAGACTGAGAACAGACCTCAGTCCCTTGGGGAAAGAGACTCCAGGACACTACTCCACGGAGAGGAGAAAGACAGTTTGACCACTTCCATTGGTGGAAACTTGAAGGAAATGTATCCTGAGGAGGTGTTGGGGGGAGGGATCAGAGAGGCATTGAGGAATGAAAACTCAACTGGTAGTGTGTGAAAGCCTTAGGATCCTGTTTTGAATAGAGAGAAACCAAGGAGCTTCAGAGAGCATGCAGTAGTTCTGGATGATGTGGAGCTGGAGGAGGACTGTGGGGCCTGAGGATCAGGCCATCATGCTATCACTTTGGAGCAAAGCCCCATCACCCCAACCTAGTTGCAGTTCCACAGCTATACATCTTAAGCTGGGCTTTCAACGGCCAGTGCCTCCACTCAATTATGTGTTTTAAGGCTGGAAATTTAAAGATCTGGGGGAGGATACTAAAGATGTTGGGGTTAGATGGGGAGAGATCTTATAGTTCTTCAAATTGTATTATGTGAGGGCCTGCCTACCTTACCAGTGCTCTCCCTGTTCCCCTTGCCCAGTGACTGTGTCAGTCCTATCTCATAAACACAGCTGGCAAGTATCACAACATAATTTCTCCATAGCAAATGTTCTTTCTAGAAACAGAATTCCCATGAATCCTTTCTCTTTCCAGCACCAGTTTTTGCTTCAGTGAATAGTAATAGAAATAAAATTCAAACTAATGAATGGTTTATACTTTGCAAAGCTCTTTCTTCATAACAACAGTGGGAAATACAGCAAATATCACTGCCTCCCATTTTTCAGAAGCCAAACCAGCAGACAATTCAATATATTCCATGGAAAATGTCAGCCAAACTATGGCTCTTAGCTCTGAATCACAATTAGATATGGGTTCCCAACTTCTGCCTTAATACAAAATCAGACAGATTACATTTGTGGGAGCCAGACCTCAGGCAGGGATTCTTGACCTTATCGCTTTAAACTGGCACATTTGAGTCACTTACAGGTGATGATTTTCCCAGGTTCCTTTGTTTTGTCTAGAGTTAACTTAATTTCTTCACATCGGCCATTCTTTCTGAAAAACAAAATACCCATTAATGATACTTCTAGATAAAATTTGTTTCTTTATTGGAGAATAATTAAAATAATAATGACAGTTCAAAATGATACATTGCTTAATGATAGAGCCTTCCCTCTATTGATTATTTCCAGTTTATCCTGTACATATCTTTTTCGTACATACTTGTTTATATTTTTATCTCCCCTCTTCGACTGTGGGCTTATTGAAATCAAAGACTATCTTTTACCTTGCTTTATAGCCCCAGACCTTAGCATGGTGCCTAAAACATAATCAGTGAGTGATAAATACTTATTGCCTACTTTAAAGTTTACAAAGCTCTCTCTTCACAATAAGGCTATAATATAACTATCATCACCTATTTTTCAGAAGTGAAAACTACAGCTTGGTGTCTGCATCTATAGCTACAATCTAAAGAACGTGCAGCAACTGAAGTTGATGTGATGAGTAGTTGAGATCACTTGTGCACGGCCACATCATTAGGAAGAGGCAGGGCCAGGACTTAAACCCAGATCTACTGATTCTGCTTCCAGTGATGCTGTGATGCCGCCTCCCCAAAATGCCTAAAACCTTTAGTTCAATTTAATGAGTATGTATGGAGAGCTTGACACATGCCTAAAGTAAAATACCCTAGCCCCTGGACAGCGCCAGAGCATGAGAACTAATTTGTCACCAAAAAAGTAAACAGTGGAATCATTTCATTGCTCCTTACTTGCCTCTCATGGCAAGCAAGTATTGGCAGGTCATCACTTCAGTCTTTCTATAATACTCTAGATAATCACATTCCTATGTAACAAAAATGCCCTTCTCAACCTAATGATCAGAGCCAGAATTTGAACTCAGGTCTTCTTGACCCCATAGCCAATATTCTTTCCATGCCTTGAGTTTTTGTTGATGCCATTTTCTGAGAAGTGGAGATCTGGTACATGGAGCCACCCAAATTTTTTTCACTTGGTTTCTGATAGGGCATGTCAGTGAAGCAGTCATTTGGACCCAGGGAAGGCCATCTGTGATCATGCCACGGTTTTACATGGGGCAACCAGGTGGTGTAGTGGATAGAGTGCTGGCCCTGGAGCCAGGAAGATCTGAGTTCAAATCAACCTCAGACACTTACTAGTCTTATGACCTTGAGCAAGTCACTTAACCTCTGCTGGCCTGAGTTTCCTTATCTATAAAATGGGGATAATAAGAACACCTATCTCCCAGGTTTTTTGTGAGAATCAAATGAAATAATAATTGCAAAGTACTTTTGGTGCCAGGCATATAGTAAGTGCTGTATATATATATTAACTATTGTGATTATGTAATTCTCTAGTCCTTAAAAAGATTGAACATATGACCTTGACTGTATTACCATTTATATTCTATTACTATATTATATTGTATAGTTAATATATTATAATATATTACTATGTTACCATATTACCATTACCTGAGTGTTCTAACATAAGTAGCACCCACCTTAATGTCTCCCATAGCTTTTTAAATTTTTTTTTTTTTTTGGCAATTGGGGTTAACTGACTTGCCCGGGGTCACACAGCTGGTAAGTGTCAAGTGTTTGGTCTGAGGCCGGATTTGAACTCAGGTCTTCCTGTCTTCAGGGCCGGTGCTCTATCCACTGTGACACCTAGCTGCCCCTTCCCATAGCTTTTTAGGTATAATCAGAGTATTACATCGACAGATTACATGCCCAGGCATTACCTCAATTCCCCTGTGGCAGCTGACAAAGTCTTCCCCATTTTCTGGCATCTTTAGATATTTTAGTCAAATCTCATCCATTTTTTAAATTAAGTTTTGTTTTATTTTCAGATCCACATTGTCTCCCTCCCACATCCACCTCCCTATTTAAGCCTATTCATTTGGAATAGGCAGAAGGAAAGCCAATCTGAATTAATGGAAAGCCTGAGTTACACGTTATTATTTAAATATTTAAAATATTTATATATTTTTATATGTTGTTCACTTTTGAGTAAAAAGAAAACATCATGTTGTGATTTCACTGGACCTATTTTAGTGAAAATATTAGAATGATCTTTAATTATTACAGTAGATTTTTCATTTGCTAAGGAAAACACTACTGCTAACGTAGCAAAGAGTTCATTTCAAAGACTTTGTTCTCTTACATAGGCCAATTTTCATTCCTACTCCTGTGATTAAATACTATAGCAACACCTCTACGATCCTATGTCATTGTGAGTATACAGTTTTCTGTAAAAGTGATCTTTCTAACTAACCCTGCTTTTAACATTTTAAGTGCCAAAATTATTTTATTTCAATTTTCTTCAGATGGAATTCTTTCTATGTTGGGCAACACACTTTGCTGCCCTCTTGGATCATACTAAATATCATCTGCCCCTTTCTTCATGACTGAGTGATATCATTATGAACATGTGTTACTAACCTGTGCTTTAGATCTATCTACCTGTGGCTAATGACCCCAAATGTGCTCCCTCATCCCCAAGATACCTACAGAGGCATCACACAACTGATGGATCTTTATGAGACACCATGATACCCTTTGCAGTTACTGAGGTGCAGAAACTTATGTGACTCACACTGCGGGCCTTTGATTTCCTTGTACTTTTCTGAGTGATTGTTGCTCACTGCCCCCATAATCATAATGTATAAGAGTTGCCATATGGAACAAATTGAAGATTGGCAGAACACTTCACATACCTGTTCTCATTTGATCCTCGCAACAACCCTGACAAGTTACTACTATGGATTATTATTGCCCCCATTTTACAAATGAGGAAACTGAGACATAAAAAAATGAAGTTATTTTCCCACAGTCACACAGCTAGTGGAGGCAAGATTCATGCCTGTGTGTCTCTTGACTCTAAGTCTAATTTCCTTTCTTCATGCCAGGAACTCTTTACTGCTTCTAATGTCCACCACTACTTCTATTGCGCTCTGTGTCTGACATTTAGCACTCCCTTCCCTCCATTTTTGTTTTTCCTCTTCTTCTTCTCAAGCCCTGCTTCCTTGCCCGTGATTCTTACCTTTGCCATTAAGCATCATGGCTGCCATAGCCATTGCTACAGGTCAGTGTTCACTGCATACCTTTGTTCCTGCTTAATAAGTAATTAGATATAATCTTCAGGGTCTTTGGCTTATATGAAAATCATTGCTAAAATTCAGAGCTAGAAGACACCATAGAGGTTGAAATCAACTCCTTCATTTTACAGATGAGGAAACTGAGGCCTAGAGAGGTTGAGTGACTTGCCCAGGATCATTTATAGCTAATAAGTACCTGAGATTTGAACTTAGGTCTTTCTGCCTCCCAGCTCAGCACTCTATCTGCTATGCCATGTTGCTTCCCAGGTACTTTTCCTATTGAATGATACTCAAAAGATGCTTCACTACTGCCTGGAACACTTCAGTTCATTGCTTGTTTTCTGGAATTGGCATTGGTCAGATATTCGATTTGGTCAGAAACTTCCTTCCGGATAACAAAATCATTACTGTATTAATTTGCTTGGCAAATTTTTTTTTTTAAAAGCTAATGAAGTGGTAGACTTTAGTGCAAATTATTAAACTTTTCAAATTACTGAATACAGTTAAAAGCTTAACTACCATTTCACAAAAGCAATTGTACTGCTTTCAAGGGAAGACTGGAAATCATGAAATGGATGGTGGAATACTCCCATACAAAGTACACTTACTTAAGATTTAATTTGGCCTCCAATTTACCATTAGAAAGAGGTCTGATAGTGGTGGGAGGTATTTTCTGATACCTCTTATCTTCAGGAATATCCACGTTTCCAGTCCAGGCATTTACATACCACACTCCAAACAGCTAGAGAAAAGTGGAGACAAGGAAGACTCGAATTGTAAGAATTCTGGATATCCAGACATTGGGATTCCTAGGACAGAAGGGAAAAAAAGAAGAAATGGCAAGTGAGTGGAGCAGGGAGTCTGCCTATCTTCACAGGTCCAGGAAAGGTTTGGGAAGGGGAAGGGTTACAGCTAGACCTATACTCAAGTAGGGTGGACATCAGATCTCTGGGCTGCTGCTAGAAGATGTCAGCAGCAAGAGGGGCATCTGTTCCTCCTCTCATTCAAGTTCCAAAACCAAGACTCTACAGGATGGGCCCTGACTCATCCTAGATTTGGAGAAGGGGGATTGTATGATTAGGGATGGTATTCTGGTCTTTTATGAGAGAGATAACTAAAGGTATAAAAAAAAGGCAATATAATAGCTTATCTTTGATTAAATTGGTAGGAGCTAAGTTTCTTCTGCTATACAGAAGAATGAACAGAACCTATCTTCAAGGGCTTTGGACAATATACTGCAAGTTTCATGGGCTAATCAGAAGCCCTCTTCAGAGAATTCCCATAGCAGCTACAAAAGCCTGTGGCATACCAGAGGAAGAAGACTCTAAGAGCAGGTGAATATTATGGGGGTTGCTACCACAAAAATGATTCTGTACGGCAGACCTAGAGAAGCCCAGAGAATATTCTACTACCCCCCGGTGTCTACTTCTCAGCATCCTGGCTGTAGAAAGACACTACCTCCAAAACTGAGAAATCCTATCAGAAGTAGCCAGCCTCCCCTTTCATGATTAAGGAGGTTCTGTCTTTGTAGCAGAGTTAAACACATTGACCTGGTTGCCTCTGCTTAAAAGGTGCTCATGTTAAAGTAACACATCTCTCTCAGATTTATCTGAGGCACCACTATTTGGACTGGATTTTTCTGCTGGGTTTTCTGACAAAAGCCTACTGCAATGTCCCAAACCAGATTGATTCTTTCCCCTACCTTCTTAGGTGCCATTTCATGTATCACTTCTCACTGAACCAACACCCAATCCATACACCTGAGGACTGCTAATAGCTTTGCTCTCACCTTACTCATAGCAGATGCACGATGTCAGCATGGTAACCATGGCAACATACCCATACTGCAGGTAAGTGAGTAGGTTCTGATGAACTAATTTTTCTAATACAAACCTACAAAAAAAGTAAATATCACATGGACCAAATGGAATTAAAGTTCTAAAGGCCCTGAGCCAATTAACTGGTTCTCTGAAAATTACAGCTTGTGACACATATGAGACTTGCTTCATTTAGGGATACTAATAATTCTGATTGGCCATCAGCAGTACAAGAACTAGGAATATCACTGCTCCCAGCTCCCAGCTCCCAGATCACTCTGGTCACAGTAGACTTGGAACAAAGTGGGAAATTCTCACCTTGGAATCCATCCTATCTCCCTCTCTGACCTTCTCTTCTGTGGGTCCAAAGAGTTCTGCCAAATTCATAGCCATCTAATTTCTGTCTCCTGGCTGAGTTATAGGGTAAGAGGATTTCAGGGGTTGTAGACCAGCCTGGAAACACACTGAATGGGTCCCTACGCTGACAATGGCATCTTCTGGCTGGCGTACATCTCTCCCACTCATTTTCCCTCCCAAAAAAGATAGTCTCACCTTCGACGTGTCTTTATCAAGAGAAATAGGTTTCCAGGCATGGATGACTGAGATGAAGAACATCAAGAATGGTATCTTCACCTTCAGAGGACTATGCACTGGGCTTCTTAGCAGAGAACCTGGTTATACATTGAGCCTCCCTCTTTATATAGTACCCCACATTCAAAGGCCCTGAAAACTGATCCCCCTTGCACACAATGCCCCAGTCAGTCTTTCAAAAGCAGAGAGATAATAGCATTATTTTTGGAAACAAATGTCCAAATGTCTTTATGATTTTTTAATGATAGTTCATTAAAAATCACTCTGATAATCAACAGGATCTACTTTTTTTGGATGCCTGCAATCTTTATAGGTTCTCACAATTGATGCCTTTATTGGTGGAAGGCAGATTGTTATCAGAAGGGGATATTTTCAAAGGCCTTGTACTTTTTGAGTAACAAAGAAAAAATCAATGGCTTCATTTCATTCCTACCCACTCCCTTCCTCTACCCCCTCATTACATATGCTTCTTAAAAATAATATTTTATTTCCCCCCAATGACCTGTAAAAACAATTTTTAACATTCACTGTTTTGTTTAAGCTTTGAGTTCCAAATTCTATCCCTCCCTCCTTCACTAAGATGGTAGGTAACACAATATAAATTATACATGTACAATCACATAAAACATTTCCACATCAGTAATTTTGTGCAAGAACACTGAAAGAAAGAAAGAAAGAAAGAAAGAAAGAAAGAAAGAAAGAAAGAAAGAAAGAAAGAAAGAAGAAGAAAGAAGAAAGGAAGGAAGGAAGGAAGGAAGGAAGGAAGGAAGGAAGGAAGGAAGGAAGGAAGGAAGGAAGGAAGGAAGGAAGGGAGGAGGAAGGAGGGAGGGAGGGAGGGAGGAAGGAGTGAGGAAGGGAGGAAGGGAAGGGAGGAAGGGAGGGAGGAAGGAGGGAGGAAAGGAAGGGAAGGGAGGAGGAAGGGAGGAAGGAAGGGAGGGAGAAGGAGGAGGAAGGAAGGGAGGGAGGAAGGAAGGGAGGAAGGAAGGAAGGAAGGGAAGGAAGGAGGGAAGGAGGAAGGAAGGGAGGGAGGGAGGAAGGGAGGGAGGAGGAAGGGAGGAAGGGAGGAAGGAAGGAAGGAGGGAGGAAGAAGGAAGGAGGAGGGAGGAAGGAAGAAGGAAGGAAGGAAGGAGGAAGGAAGGAAGGAAGGAGGAGGAAGGAAGGAAGGAAGGAGGGAAGGAAGGAAGGAGGAAGGAAGGAGGAAGGAGGGAGGGAAGGAAGGAGGGAGGGAGGGAGGAAGGAGGAAGGAGGAAGGGAGGAGGAAAGGAAGGAAGGGAGGAAGGAAGGAAGGAGGAAGGGAGGGAGGGAGGGAAGGAAGGAGGGAGGGAGGAAGGGAGGAAGGAGGAAGGGAGGGAGGAAAGGAAGGAGGAAGGGAGGGAGGGAGGAGGAGGGAGGAAGGAAGGAAGAAGGGAAGGAGGGAGGAAGGAAGGGAGGAGGAGGAGGAAGGGAGGAGGGGAGGGAGGAAGGAAGGGAGGGAGGGAGGGAGGAAGGAGGAAGGGAGGGAGGAGGAAGGGAGGGAGGAAGGAAGGGAGGGAGGAGGAAGGGAGGGAGGAAGGAGGGGGAAAGGAAGGGAGGAGGGAGGAAGGGAGGAAGGAAGGGAGGGAGGAAAGGAGGGAGGAAGGAAGGGAGGGAGGGAGGAAGGGAGGAGGAAGGAAGGAAGAGGAAGGAAGGGAGGAAGGAGGGAAGGGAAGGGGGAGGAGGAAGGGAGGGAGGGAGGAAGGAGGAAGGGAGGAAGGAGGAAGGGAGGGAGGAAAGGAAGGAAGGGAGGAAGGAAGGAAGGAAGGAAGGGAAGGAGGGAGGAAGGAAGGGAGGAGGAGGAAGGGAGGAAGGGAGGAAGGAGGAGGAAAAGGAAGAGGAAGGAAGGAAGGAAGGAAGGAAGGAGGAGAGGAAGGAAGGGAGGAGGGAGGAAGGGAGGAAGGGAGGAAGGGAGGGAGGAAAGGAAGGGAGGAAGGAAGGGAGGGAGGGAGGAGGGGAGGAAGGAAGGGAAGGAAGGGAAGGAGGGAGGGAAGGAAGGGAGGGAGGGAGGAAGGGAGGGAGGGAGGGAGGGAGGAAGGAAGGAAGAAGGAAGGAAGGAAGGAAGGAAGGAAGGAAGGAAGGAGGGAGGGAAGGAAGGAGGGAGGGAAGGAAGGAAGGAAGGAAAGAAAAAATAGCTGTCACATTTTTTTCCAGCCCTTTCAGGTGGATTAGAGACTTGTGTTTCATCTGACATGCATGTCTTCATGAACTCTAAGGTCCATTCAAACTGGTCCTTTTACTGCTCCTCACACACAACATTCCATTTCTGATTTCCATACCCTTATACAGGAATTCTCCGTCATTGGAGTATATTCCCTCTTTACTTCAACCTGTTAGAATCCCTTATTTCCTTCAAAACTCAGCTCAAGTGCCACCTTCTACAAGAAGTTTTCATGATCTCCCCAGCTGCTAGTGTCTCCTCCCCCCAAAAAAATTACCTTAAATTTATTTGTTATACACATATACATACATATGTGTGTGGTATGTGGGTCTATAGGTCACCTTCCTTTTTAGGTTAGCACAGTAGCACATAAGATAAGGACCAGATCTTCATTGGTATAGGGAACTCACAAATGGACTCTACCACTGAAGTTGATTCTGTCTGTGCAATACGTAGTCTTAAGCAATTTCCCAGAGGACTAGGAGTTTGTGACTTGTCTGGGATCACATAGCCAGTGTGTGTCAGAGATGGAACTTGAACCTTGGTCTTCCTGGATCTGAGGTTAGCTTCCAATTCTCTGCCCTACACTGTCTCTCCCTGGTACATAGTAACAACTTTAAAATTCTTGCTTTTTGATGTAGAGGAAGGAAGACTTGAGTTATATCCCTTCTAAAAACTCCACCATGAACAAGATTCTTCACCTCACATCTGGAAAAAGTTTTTCACTTAGACACTCACAATCTCATAGGGTCATCATTAATACTGTTTGACAGATAAGGAAAATGAAGCCAAATGACTTGCCAAGGGTCACAATCTATAACTAATCTGAACCAATCTATAAAAGGTAATATTGAATGTATAGCCTTTATCAACACAATTTGCCATGATAGAAAAGTCCCAGCCATTGTGTTATCCCTGGTAAGGGCTACTCCTTTGTCTGCCATTTGGCTGCTCTGTACTTTGACCTTACCTGAAATACACACACACACACACACACACACATCTCTCTCTTTCTATCTCTCCCTGATAAGAGGGTTTCTGTTTGTGATTTCTCTTCTGCCTGATATGTGCTGAGTGAGTGAATAAAAACTCACTCAAAGCACTATATCTAATAGGTCTTTAGATCATGATTCACATTCCATTTGGCTATCCACCAGTAGCCCAGACCCTATCTTGCCATCTTGCCATGTATATCCTTCTTCGCTGAGTTTCCACCTCTTGCTCTGGGCACAGTAATCAAATCAATACAACCATTACTTCTGGATGGTACGGGTAAATCAACTGCTTTATGACTCTACTCCCAATCCCTCTTACACCAAGCCAAAACATGCCCTTCCTGGCCATCACTTCCTGATATGTATTGTTTTCCCCCATTAGATCAGAAGCTCCTTGAGGACAAGGATTGTCTCATTTTTATACTTTTATACCTAGCACATAGCACCATGCTTGACACATTGTAGGCAATAAATAAATGGTTTTTTCTTCATTCATTCATTCATTCTTTCATTTTGTCACAACAGATTTTCTTGTTCTGACAAGAAATTTCAATGCCTCTTCTAGTCACTCATCCTGTTATGGCCTCTACTTAGATCTTCTGGTATTGAGCTTCCTCTTACCAAAGCAAGGATCTTGTCAGTCTTACCCTAAGGAACTAGCTGCAATAGCTACACACTGACCCCCAAACCTTCTGCTACTTATCTCCCATACCAAATGTCAGAAGGAGTTTATTTCCCTGGAGTCTTTATTATTCTTTCTTAAACATTTTATGAGTTATATTTTATCACAGATCACTGACCTAGCACTTTGCTAACACAATATTACCACCTCTTTTCATAAAGGTCATTAAATGCACACCTACAAGAGGGAGTCTCATCCCTTCTGAGACCAAAGTTAACCTTGCAACTCTATCCTAAGTCAATTACTAAAGCTCTCCTAAAAGAGCATGTCAAGTTTATCCAGCAATACTTCAAGGATCCAAAATTTCACTGGGATAAGCACTTTCTCCACTTATGCAGAATGAAGCCCCTTGACTCGGCAGATTGTCTTAAAACAGTTATAACCAAATAAATAAATCACTTTGCAGTCAATCAATTGATGAATCTCTCCAAACTTAGCTGGGTGAGTCTTTGAACAGTAGACACCCAGTCTATCGTTGGCCTATGACTGAAGTTTTCTAATTTCATAGAACAAAATTTCTAATTTGTAGATTGTGCCTATAAAGCTTGAATTGCATTGGTAGTCTAACCTTCTAAAAACCAATCATTTATATGCCATGATGAATCATTCCTGCCTCATATCTCTCCCTACTTCATCTTCCACTCAGTGATCAGTGTTCCCAAAGCACAAATCTGACCTTGTCAATCCCTGTTCAACTGACTCTCGTGGTTCCTTAGAATCAAATATAAAATCTTCTCTTTGGGATTCCTTATAACCTGCCCCCTTCTTATCTTTCTAGTTTTCTTACCCCTTATTGACCCCCATCTATCCTGTGTGATCCAGCAACACTAGGCTCCTTGCCAGTGAGGAATACTCACACATGGTACTCCATCTTCCACCTCTGGGCTTTTCCACTGGCTATTCCCCATACATGGAATGCTCTCCCTCCTCATTGCTACCTCTTGACTTTCTTAGCTTCAAATCTCATCTTTTACAGGAAGCCTTTCCAGATTTCCCTTAATGCTAGAACCTTCAGTCTTTTGATTACTCCCAACTCATCTTATATACATTTGATGGTATATAATTATTTGTATGTTGTCAGATCCCATTAGATTCTGAGTTCCTCGAAATCACAGACTGTCTTTTGCTTTTCATTACATTCTCAGCTCTTACTTATCAGAGTGCCTGGCACAAA